GCATGCGAGTGTGAATGTTCGCGCGAGAGAACGTGTCTGATCGGGCGAAACTGCTCAACGACGCAACGCAGCCACCGCACTTGATAGATGTTGTGTGGATAAAATACTCCGCCAGATATCAGCAAAGCGTGTTGGAAGCAGCTTATCCGCGCAACTTCTATCAAGTGCGGTGGCTGCCACGTCATTTCCGGTGACACGCCCAATCAGACTTCGAGATCTGAACTGCATAACGGGCCGAGCCCGTTGGCCGATAATCACCTCCGAAGATAATCGCTAAGCCGGCAGCTTCAGCACGTAGTTCTGGTTTTATTTGTTTGCTTCAATAAGTAGTGTTGTTATCCGTATTTCGCGATGAGGATGTTATGGCAACAGTGCTGAGTTGTGGCCAAAAACCAATATCAGCTTAACGTTCGCTGCCGATATCAAATAAGCGGATCATCACGTTATACGTGTGAGTGTTGATAAGCAATGGTAAGTACACCGCGAAAAGCTGGGTTTAAAGGGATTCTTCCCGGAAAAATCTTGCATTCTTTCCCAACACGCATATGTCAGTTGTGATCACTAGAGACAACATACAAAGTTTCACGCACAAAGATTCAGTTTCCGAAGAAAAACCACACTCTATGGACAATCGAAGGTAATTCGGGCGGAGCCAAAGGCGGGGCATGGAAAAGTCCGCCTTGGGGCGGCTACGTATCAGGCGACGCAATGAAAGAATCGGGTTAAAGCGCGCGATTTTGGAGAGTAGAGACAAATCGATCGATAGAATAGGATGGAGTAGAAGTGTAGATGTGAATGCAATAAAGCAGAAGGCCAGAAAGAGTTTCTAGTGACGGCACTCGAACGCAATTTCTGTGCTTCGTTGTTATCGTAAACGCTGGGTCCCAAATCAGTGAATTATGGGTGATGTGGAATCACGATTTTTCCGTGAAGGACTCCTTCAATGCGTTTGGTCTCGTAGTACACTGGGTAAGATCGATGCTCGGAAAAGCATAAGTATGGACGGTCAACCGTCCGTTGGTCAAAGCCCAACAACCGGGATCGTATTTCGAGAGGATTTCGAGAGGAGGATCGTAATTGGAGTTGACAAAAGATGTAAGGAGGGTCGTATTTTGGAAGTTGAATGGGTCATGAGTGCAAGAATGCTCGAAGGCACTCTGGAGGAAAGCCGACGATATTGGGTTATGTTGACTAGTCACAAATAGAACAGTAGAGAAATGGCCACGGTGGTGCAGACAGTGATCGAGAATGGGGATAGCGGGTAGACTTGGAAAAGGGTGGGGGGGGGGAGAGTCGCCAAATTCTTGAAGAAGGACCAATGCTAGGGTGACAGTGTTCAGCATTCCTCAAAGGTCAAACATTTCGCCCAATTTGAACCCTTATTTAACCATCGCACCGTGACCTGCTGATAACAGGAACATTGAATGTGGTTTCCTATTCCACATTTGTGAAATACAGGTGCCCCGAGTAAAGAACCATGAACCAACCTACGACACATAGCTGGCTACGTTGCTATGCTGCTAAGTAGCTTGCACTTGCTACTTAATAAAAATTGGATTCTTCCTATGCTCGAGTTAAAGGCACTTCCGCGATAACAGGGTTTGGGTAGGGTTCAAATATGTGTGGGGTACTAATATGAAGCATTAGATGTTATACCTATGCACATGTATTTATCTATGTGTCCGTTCAAAGGCGGATTTCACGATGAAAAGCCAGCCCATTGGAAATTATGTCATAGATGGTCGGGGCACCAAGAGGGAAGAAAACCAAAGAGAAACCGGCCTAGAACTCGAGAAAAGGGGTTGCTTCCTTGACCCGTTGATTTTCGTATTGGTGTGATTCTAGTCGGTGCTGCTCTCACTAACGCTGAAGATCTCTCTACTGCACGGCTAGAGATCCTCTTCAGAATGTTGGACTATTGCCGAAACAACTAGGCGCTTTTATTCAACGTCCAATTCCGTTTGTTGGAGATGGTGGGATCGATACTAATCGATCTAAGCAAAACAGAAGACTTCCAAAACTCGGAAATTCGAGTAGTCTCGGTAAAAAAAAAGAAAGCTTTATTATTACACAACTAGAACAGTTGACACCACTAGGATCGACGTTTTCTTTTTCTCTCACGCGGAATTTAACTATATCTAACTGTGATACACAAATAATACATCTAAATTTAATTTACAAGGCCTAATCATAATCTTCAGTGTCCTCCATTGCCTCAGTATGGTAGATTGAAGTATGTTTGGCGAGAATACGAAGCAACGGTCGCAGCTTCAACCACCACTGATCGCAAGGCAAGCGCTTATCGAAGTCAGTCTCGGCAGCTAATTCCTCTACCGGAGTAAATACCTGAATGACGATATACCTTAACGGAGAAGAAGGAACAAATCGAAGAGAATTTGTATAATGCGAGAAAAAAAATATTTTCAAATTTTGGACTAAGAAGTAAAAACGTCCGGTAAAGTCAGGAATTGGCTTCTCTCCTCATGGGAGACCTGTTTTCCCTTTGGGATGTTGTTGGTGAGAGCCGCCCATTTTCACGTGCCCAGCTGCTGCTGCTATCTAATTATGGATCAGCGATTAGATAACAGTGCATTTTGGCCAAGCGCCAATTTCTTATTGAATAGAAGAAAAAATGGAACTAGTAGCAACAAATCGAGCTACTACATGAAATACTGGAATGCCGTCAAGATATTAGCGAATAAAAATCATATGCTCACAATACAAAACTAGGGCAACATATGAACTTACCACACGTCTTCCTGTCAAGCCGAGAAGAGTTGCAGTTTCAGGGGATTTCGTTGATACGATACCATTAACCATCGAATCCTTAACTCGAAAAACTCACAAAACGAAGGAGAAATCAAAAGAGATAACGACATTACTAAGCCACACCTTAATCTGCGTAATAATATACTCCAAAGCTCTTGCGGCTAACTTCGTACCCATGTTGCGATCGAACGGTGTTGGGCTACCTCCTTGCTGAGCATGACCGAGGATATTAATGCGCGTCGAGAACTGAAAAAAAAACAAAAGCGATGAAGAATTTTCTCGAAGAAGTTATGCCCACGAGACTAAGAATTAAACGGCAATTAGAGCTAAATTTTGCACTTTCACTCCTGAATCCATAAAACCTATCAACGCTCGCAGCGAAAAACCTCAGCTGCGCTTTTCAAAATCTAGGATCTCTGTGAGCCCTGATCGAGCAAATTTCCGGGAAACACAGTTGTAAAAGGGCATTCAGACATCTACACATGTCTACGAGACAAACAACTTTCTTCGAGGATGTTATTCGCAAATGTTTCGACGGGTGATCGGGCATCAGTGGCACAGACGCAGACGCTAAGCAAAGATGGGCATCCGTCTTCCTGCTTTTGCCATTTATGCACTCACACGATTCAAACTTAAGCAAGCGCCGTTCAACTAAGGAGCCGTGTTACTTCCGTCCCAACCATAAAGGATAAAGGATAAAGCATTTGCCGTTGATCAATCCCTTTTTGGGATGCGGCACGCATTCTACTTCCATTTGTACATTCGTAGTGGCGTTTGAATGCGATGTGGCCTATACAATGACTTGCGGGGGCCAGCCGATGTACAAGTCAGTGTTTTTATCCTCCCAGACAAGTCTGGTACCAATTAACCGACCCCGGAGGGATGGAAGGCTTGGTTGGCCCGGGCGACTCACGACCCAGGATTTGATCCCCGGACCGCTCGCGTGGTAAGCGTGCCACTTGCCACTACACCACTTCCGCCCAAATAGATTATAATATTAATATAAAACCTCCAGTGCCTACTACGGCAACCCGAATCCTAGTTGAACATAAAAGCTTCCTTCACAATAGTTACATGAAGATGTTGCAGGGGTACAATGAAAAAATGTATGGTGAACTTTAATCTCACCTCTCCTTTTCCTTCCTCGGCGAACAACTGCTTGACAAATTCTGTTGTAAAGTTCTTGTTCGCGAACTCATTTCGTACAATAAGGTATCGCTGAACTCCCTGGGCCATTTTAGCAGCAATCACCTGGAGTGTAAAAAAATGAGGTATGAAAATGACATATTCAAAAGTGTAAACTTTAGGAAGCAACGACAGTGGTAGAAAGCCTTACTTCCACATCTTCAATGATGTCTTCAACAGTGAACTTCTCTTCGAAGATGTAGGCATTATCAGCTCCAGACGCGAGGGCAGAAAGTGTCGCCAGGTAACCGCAATATCCTCCCATGGTCTCGATGATGAACACTCTAAACCACAACTGTTAAGCTTAAAAATGAAAGAAAATGGAGAATCCTTCATGGCTACCTTCGCTTAGTTCCAGTAGCTGACTGTTTGATTTTGTCGATCATTGTACAGATTTCATTGATAGCCGTATCAGAGCCTAACGAAATGGAGGTACCTGAAAAAGCTTACCTACGTCACTGCTAACAGTCAAAATCCCTACCAACGGAAAATCGAGAAAAAAAAAGGATTCGAAAATATCGCACTAACCCGGTACATTGTTGCTGATGGTACACGGGATGACGCATAACGGTATGCAGAACTCGGGGTATCTGTCACGGTTTTTCGACAAAATCAGGGTAGAATGATAGGCCTGAATAGAAAAACGAGCACTATCCACAACTGCAAAAGCTTATGAGCGACATTACACATACAAGGATGGAACACATGTTTGGTGGTATTGTGCTGGCAAGCGTCAGCCTCACTAGGTTCACCAAACAATGAGTCCATCAACGCACTGCCTGCCAAAATTCCTTTGGAACATCACAGGACTCAATTTCATTAGTACTAGTATTGCGATTCAAAAAGTCAAGAGGACGTGAACTTATCGAAGTATAAAAGTAACTATGCTAGTTTTCACGTAAAACCTTCAACTTCAGGATGCCCTGCGACTGACAGGCCGTATATAATGGCTGCAAAACGCTAGTTGAGGTCTCACCCAAGCGCCATCAGTTATCCTCTGTCATCCCATTTTTACAACACTCAATCTTTACGGTTGTTTTACAGGTATGCTGAAATTCTACCTATTTATGTTGGTCGTAAGTACCTGCTTGCTTTACGCTAACGCTCTGCCATTCTTCATCATCAACAAAGTACGTCATCAGGTAAATCAGATAATGAATGGAATTCTCCAACCCCATTACACTGCCAAATTGCGCACAGTTAAATCTCTGATAAACTCAAAATGCTTTTCTGAATCTGAAATCCTCTGGTTGGAAGGTGAGAGAGAAATTTTATGACTTTCGCTGTGAAAACACCAACGAACATGAATACATTGACTACTCCTAGCTGACAATCAAATATTTGTTTTAGAGGGGCGGTGGCAAAAAATTGACAACATGGTTCTCCCGAGCTTGCTTCCGATCATAACTTGTCATGTGCCATGAATCAATATATTTAGACTCCAGACGTAAAACAGTGGCACATGGAACTGGATAACGATGGCAAATTCGATGATGCAAAATATGTATACGCCGGAATGCGTGGATGACTAAAATTTTAACTGAAGAATCCTGGTATCGAACTAAATACTGCTATCAAACTGTGGGCGTTACTGAATAAACCTTGCTGTCTGAAAACCTCATCTACTACAAATATTTGATGTCAACGATTTTTTTTTTCGCGACAAAAGTGCAAACACTTCAAACAAAAGCAGAGCTACATAATCACAACGTCCCACTGCTGCTCTAACAAGATTGAGATTCAGCAGAAAAAATACCTCAAATCCTCCGACGAGCAGAAGAGCTTGAATATTATGCTTTCTGAGTTGTTCTGCAATTAGAGGAACGTTCTTCTCGTTGGGAAGTTGCTTTTGGGTCCCAAGAAATGAGCCACCATGCATTACCCAATTGGTCACGTCTCCCCATTGGAATTTCTGTAAAGAAAATGTAAACTTTCGGAAACCTCTGCTAGTTCGATAATATCCACAGAAGAGGAGAGACCCACCTTGAAAGCTCCATTTGCGAGGCCTTCAAACGAGTCTTCAATGCCATAGACTGTGCAGTGGTGGTACAACGCCATACGTACGAATGATCGCACAGCCGCGTTCATTCCTAAACATTAGTGTTATTTACCACAGAATGTAACATTCAAATACCGAATGCAATCAATGCAAGGATAAAGCCACCTGAAGCCATTCCTTAAATCCATCATCCTCCGAAAAGTTCGCCCCATAAAATTTGAGTTTTTTTTTAAGTTTACTACGTAATATTAAACACTGGAACAATATAATTACATGTCCTATATTCGAGGCACTTGACTGATGCTGACGTCAATTTCGTGAAAATATAACGTAAAACCCCTAGACCAAAACTCCAGGAAACTAACTACTTTAAATTACTTGTTGTTCGTTTAGTTTTATTATACAATATTTAGGTGCTGATAAGTCTCCGGGACAGCACAATATTAAGAGATGTTCATTTAGTGTTCATCATTCATAAATAGTTCATAGGAACAAAAAACAGACCAAAACGTAAAAACAGCCCTTGTGTTATCCAGCTAACGCGCTAAAACTATAAACTCCTTATCGTAAAATTCAAAACATACCTCCAGCAGGAGCGCCGACGTTCATTACAGCAACGTTAAAGTTCTGACCACCAGAGAGATTGTCCTTCTCTACAGTACGCAGCTTTGTTAGCAGCTTGTACGTCTCGAGATTGCGCTGGAAGCTTCGTCCACGCAACTTCACTGCGAGCTCCCAGTCTTTCTCGTTCATAGCTTTTTGCACCTATAACGAGCGGCAAGTGAACTTCAGGGATGAAAATTTTGATATTTGACATCTGAAAAAACGTAGTGCTGAAAACACATTCAAAGGGAACCGTGCAAAATGAATGAAGAAAGCCATGCATAACAACCACCACGAAAATCACCGCTCCCTAACATTCTACTCAGGTTTTTACACTAATCTTACAAAATCCTTCGAAACTAATGAAGAAAAAGATGTATCAAATGACCAACGAGTAATCACAACAAGCTATCACTTCAAATAACTAACCGCTTTGGTTCGCTCCACACACTGCATCAGAGGTACACGCACCATCTGATTACCATCAATGGAAATCACACACGGTTCCGATTCCTAGAATGTACAACTTATTCAATATAAGTGTAAGCGAAAAAAGTGTAGTCTGCGCTGAACCGAAACTACCTCGTTCATTTCCATGAGAGCCAAAACTGCCTCTGCGCCCATTCTGCAACCAAGGAGACGATCGAAGGCAGAAGGTGCACCTCCACGTTGGACATGACCGAGCACGGTCACCTGAAAAAAAATCCTGATCCTCTAAAGAGATAAACCGAAAGAGCTCTCCAACTATGGTTGCTCAGCAACAGTCTTATGGAGGATTAGATAGACAACTTCAGATTTTAGACTTACACAGGAAAACCATAACATCCCAAAAAAAAAACTCTGGCATTTCAAAAACAGCTATTCAAGTGTATGTTAAATGTGCCACTGGAAACATACCCTCGTGTCGTATTTGAGCGTTTTGGAAACCACCTCTTTGACGAGGTCAGCGGATATTGGAGTGCCATCGCGATCAATCGCACCTTCAGCAACGATAATGATGTTCAGTCGTTGACCCTCAGCTCTCATCTGAAATCAAAATCACAGCTCAAGGGAAATATTACTGCAAAAGCCACACACTTCTAAGGCTACTTAAATGGGAACGGGTGGTATTAAGATTTGGAAAGGAATACCTCCTGCAGCTTCTTGCAGAGAATTTCGCGCCAGTTGACTGGAGGAGGCCATTCCGGGATGAAGCAGAAATCAGCCTCAGATGCCAAGGCAGCTACTAAGGCGAGATAACCGCAATGTCGACCCATGACCTTAACACAGACGCCTATGGGAATATTCAACTCGACCGTGTTTCTTCATCCACTTTACCTCAACCACGAATGAACGCTGATGGCTTTGAGCAGTAGCAACTACAGCGTCGATCGATTCAATTATACGTTGCAGAGCGCTGTCAGTACCAATTGTCATGTCAGTACCTATAATGGCAGACTTACAGACAGGCATCGCGCGAGACCGTAGAGAGCACAATTTACATCACAACTCCCAGTTTTAAGGTTACAAAAATAAAAGTTGGTATGCCAGTAGGTTTTCGAAACTATTTGAACACTGTATGGCATGATGTACAATAGAATTCCCGTACCCATAAAGCCTTTTCTGATTTGTTCGACGATTTTGTCAGTTTCAATGAAAGTGGATAAGTGGGGACGCAAAAATCACTTCGAAAAAAGAAATTCGATGTGAAGCAATTGAATTCCTTCCACGCCTATTCTGCTAATATTTTTCGTGAGAGGGTATATGAAAGTATGCCTATCCTCAAAAATTATCCTCTAGAATCTGTTAACTCCCGAACACTCTCGCGCCTCTGGTTTAAAACCACTGAGCTTGAGAAGGAATTACTAAAGCAACTTCACCAACAAAAATATCATTACTTACCGCAGAAGTCATTATCAATCGATCCGACGAGACCAACAATCTGGATATTGGGGTGATTTTTGGCCGTTTCAGGTGATATCTAGAAATAATCTTTGAATCTCACATTTTGTACTCCAACTATTACACAAAGGGACTAACTTTATTCGAGTCCACAAGTTCCTTGATTAGCCCAGGCCAATCCTTGCGGAATTGATTTGCACCAGTAAGCGAACCATCGCCACCGATGCAAACCAAATTTGTGATGCCTTTTTCAATTAGGTTGTACGCAGCCTATAAATAGCAACTTACAGAGAGTTATCGAGCCAGGTTATTGATCACATAGCACTGTAACACGTGACAAAAACCTGAACAGCCCTGCACTAACCCTGATCGTTATCAATGAGAATGTGTTTTATGCTCTTCCATTAGTTTTATGCCCTTTCACCTCCAACCGTTTCCATCACTTATCAGTTCCGTACCCAAGACTGATCTCTTTAGTTTCAGTCAATTTTTCAGCCGGAGCGAGCAATCGTTGTTTTTAATTCATGCCGCTGAGAGCACTAATTTGTTCGCTTGTTTTTAAACCCAACCTCTATACGCGCCTATCATGGACCGGTTTTGTTGTCGATTAGATCGACCTTGAAACTCAGCATTCGACAGTAGTACTGCACTGCATTTGAAACGCATTATAAGGCGAATCAATGGGCGTAGCAGAGCGCGAGAGATTGAGCACAAAAAACGACGAAGGAAACCCGATGGCGGCTGCGCCGCACTTTCGATTCGTCGCTAGGCGGCACAGCTGAGTTCAACGATTGAGAAGGAACTCGGTTTGCTTCGCCACTCGTTTTAGCGAGACATATGCTCATCACAACCGACACAAGACAACAGCCACATTTCACACAAATGAATCGCCATCACAAAGAAGAACATAAGAGATATATCCGTTAACGTCGCTGATACAAAAGTTCATAATAAGCCCTACTAACTATGTAGAGGATATATTACGCAAAAATGCTATTATTACCTTCAGCCGTCCTTCTCGCTGTCGAAAATCGTTACAGCGTGCTGAGCCAATAATTGTTCCTCCCTGCAAATGAAACCCAAGTAGACAATTCTCAATAAATCTTCTCAAACAACATCAATTTGCATCGCCAATATAAGTGTACTAACTTTCTGAATGATGTCTGACACCGAGTTCCAGCTGGCTTCAACAATGTTATCGCCGCCATCGACCATTCCTTGGTAGCCCTCATTGATAAAGAACACCTTACAGCCAAGGTATATACCCATGCGAACGACAGATCGAACGGCACTATTCATTCCTATTTATGAGATGATCATTCCAAAAGCTTCGATAGACGAAGGCCTGCACCACCCGAGCGAAAAAATTTACCTTGTGAGTCACCTCCAGATGTGAACACAGCGACTCCACGGCCCTTATAGAGGTTAAATTGAATGTCGGCACCCTCTCGTCCAGCTGTCGGCACTATCGAGTCCAGGCGACGTATATTTCTTTTGAGGCTCATTGCCCTCAAGTCGGGTAGGGGACCCGGGGCCTCTTCGGCCCCAGCACGTCCTTCCATATCCTGCAATAAAAAAATAATATCACCAATATACTGTGAAAAAACCGGCACAATATTACCTCATACTGGAAGGCATTAACCTCGTGATGAGGATGGTCATTCATAGTTATTAGCGAATAGTAAGCATGTAGACGAACAGTCACACAACAATCAAATAGTTATGCGGGGTTATGGGCGGGTACCCGAGGAGGGGGCTGGTGGAGAGAAGGGAGGGCGCTGATGCAATCCACGAGGGGCGGTGATTCAAAGAATTTGAGGCGGAGAACTGCATGGTGACGCCCAACGCTAGAAAGAGGCGAAGAGGACTAGCTTGAAAAAAGAAGCAGGGGAGGTGCACTCTTCGCGGATTCACTCGGCATGGCGGAACAGGACTATGATGAGTGCTGCTCCTTCGGAAGCACGTCCACATGCGATCACTATCACATCAACATCTAATTCGTTAGTTGCTTACTATTTCTTTGGTAAAATAAAGTTAGAAAAGAAGGAAGAGCGGTGTATCTGGGTTTGTCTATTAACCTTATTAAGGAAATAGCAGTAGTAAGAGTAAATTGTGATAAAAATTAAGCATTAGCATTACTCATTAAGATCATTAGCAAACAAAACATAAGAAACTGAAAAGGTTAGGAATGAACGGGGATGATAACGCGTATGAGGGTGGAATAAACGACTGGAAAAAATGATTCAAGAGGAGTAGAGGAAACGGGTCATTGAGGATCGGATGAACCCGGGTGTGAAAGCTGACTGGTGGCATTAATCGATCGCAAACATTAATGTGCAAACAACAAGCTTGTCTTACTACGCGGAACACCATGTGACGAAATGAAAAAAATTCAATTTCAGAGATAAACATGAAAGGACATCGTAAAACGGCTATAACAACCAGAATTGCTCACCAAAATTCCTGCGGTGTGGTGAGGAAGAATCACAAATAGCACCAGGTCAGGAATTCAGCTTCTTTACTCGGCGAGTTTCTTGAATCAGGGAACAGCTACATTTTCCTCCAGATTTCATATCATCTATTCTTCTATCAAAACAACTCCATATTACTCATTACTCATCTTATATGAATGGTTATAGGAGCCTTAAAGATAGGAGGAAAGCATATCCCGTGCTTTCCCATCGATGCACCGGTTGTTTGGCCAAAGCCGGTCGAAGTCGAGGTTACCAAGTATAAGTTATGATGACTTGGGTTAGTTTTTCCCACAATCCTGCGGTATTTGATCAGGTTATTCACACTCCCGACATTTCAAAGAAGACGCATGATGTCAGACGCTGGCATGTTAGTATTGTTCGCCAGGAATGATTACACATAAGGGTGTAATGCCGAATATTGCAGTGTCCTTTCCAGCAGGGTCAGGGGTGCGGTCTGGCTATCACCTAGTATACAACAAACTACAGAGTGCAGTTATCGCTGTTTACATAAACTTGACTCTGTTTTTACGATACCTTGGGCCAAAATTCAAGAGATGCGCAAAACGCGTGGGTGGATGGATTTATAATTTTAGCGCACCTCGCAGTGATATACATCTTCTAGTGGGCTACAAATAAACATTCTAACACTATTCCTTACAATATTTTTAACTTATCTTCTCTAACGCCAAGATGACAACCTATCAGAAAGATTTTGTACAGAGCAACAGCTTGATTTCGAATACCTTGCTCTGTTCAAAAATATGGGAAATACAAAGGCCCTTCTTTCGGAACCGTGGGAAAGACGATACTTCAGTGGTCGTGCCTAAGGGCTACACGCAATAGCTCACCGACGGCGCGGATGCGAGCGCGTGCTAGTGACGTCACAGTGTCGTTACAGTGACTGTGAGGGAACTTGCAGAGGAGTTCGCTGTCACCAACACACCAATGCATTTTGTAGTGCGAACAATTACTGTACGCTGACTTCATCGTGGGACAAGTAGTAAAAGTAGAAATGGAAATCGAATAATCAATCTGATTGTACCCTCGACAGGGTTCACACATGAAGTTGATTTCCTCCTAATTAAAGAAAAAAAAACTCAAGTTCTCAGCGTGGAGTATGGTACGAATTCGTATAACAATCATTTTGCTCCCGGAACAATTGGCTGAAGGAGTGCACATCTTGATGTAGCGGGAGCGAAGCGAATTATTATTATTCGGGCTACATGGTAACGGAGTTCGCCAGTGACTTTCCTCTCATCGCACCCACCCGGTCGCTCGCGTCCGTACCGTCACTGAGCTTGTTCTTCCTTCCAATTTCAGAAGCTTTAGTTTTACTCGAAGCCCTTCAAAGAAGTGCAAGTGGAAACTTTCGTAGTGAGAATATATTTTTTTACGTTCTTCGCTTAACAAATATTCCTCTAAAAGTTTATAACTAATCATAGAAATTGAGACAACACGGAAGTATTAATCTTTGAGCTAGCCCGCGGCGCAGTTGATTTCAATCAAGTGTTCTGCACGCAGAGCCGGGGTATCTAATGAATCACTACGACGTAGATGTAATGGTCTATAGAGAAGGCATATCAGACTCATCTACTAGGTCTAAAACCACAGTATTTGTTAAATCCAAATTATCCACTCATGTTTCTTTTTAAGTTTCACACTAGTGCTCTGTGAGGATCGTAACAAAAGTGATCTTTAGTGTAAAGAGCCTGAGAAGCTCTCTATACTAAAGCTTAAATTCTTTGTGTGAGCTGGAGACACCCAAAAGAACACCAAACTAAGTAATACCTATTGTTACTTGACGAAAAACCATTTAAAAACAAGCACAGATTGAAAGAAAAAACAGTAGGAGAACAGAGCAACAGCCAGCACTACAAGTATGACAAAGTGTCGAAGTTAAAGGACGCACTCGTGGCACTACCGATAACTCGTCCAGTCGTGATCTATTTGTAGTGGGGTGCAGGGCTGAAGGTAGGCGTGATTCAGTAATTATAACAGCAGCTCTTTAACGAAGTTGATAGAAGCCCAGTGAATGACTAGAACGCTCTAATTTCTGTATTCCAAATTTGGCCCATATTTTCAAGCAAAGAGAACGCGCAAGCAGATACCGGACATGGTCCTAGGGATAAATATCGAGTTCAAATTGGAAATACACCTGATTTATTTGCTGTTTGTTTAGGGAGGATATTTAGTTAAGCAGAGGAATTACGAGACCACAAGAAATAAAGTTCTATCGTTTGAATCGTTGTTTACTCAAGGGTGTGGGTCGCTAGGACGAGACAGACTTCTTCGCTCCCGCTAATGACCGCAATTGCGCCCGCATGTCGACATTATTTTTCGTCTAATTTCATCACTGGTCACTATCGCTCCAACAATATTACTAGTAATGAATACGGTTTTTATTTCGATTATGTGTATGTGTAAGTCTTGCCCACTACTGAATCTTGCTCTTGTCAGTGAGAAAAAAAAATACTGGCGCTCATGGCCTCAGGGGGGGGGGACATTCAAAAACCGCTGGTAGGTGAAACTAGCACTAAGCCCAGGAGATGAGAGAAACGGGAAGAGCAAAGGTTGCTCACGTCCTGCCCCAACCTCTCCTCCCTAAGTCTTAGTCCCGAGTTCTGTAAGTTGTTCACTCACTCCAATCCCCCCCCCCCTTAACGACATGAGCGCCTTAAAGTGGAATAGGAAAAAGATAGCTTAAGCCCAATTTGAAAATTTTCAGACCTGGTCAGAACTTACAGTGTTTGAGTTTTACCTATTTCTATTTTGTAAACAACTGTGGCGCGCCGTTTAGGAAACACAATACAGAAAAAGACAAAAAGCTTCATCCATGTTTTGCGGCTCTCTATTTTTCTGACTAAATGCGTTTCTTCAGCGATCAATTTGAAATAGCTTCAAAATTATTGAAATTAGTCGCACAATTCCTCATACTAATGCAGACTATGCCTAATAAATGACACATTTCTAAACCTTTGAATGATGATTTCAAAACATGCCCAAGTACTTTCGTTGTGGCTTCTTCTACTCCCTTTTGTTTGTCCTTGCTTTCGCGTTTACGCCACGTTTATGGCATCAATAATAAACGACTAGGGGACTTGGTAGACCTAGTTGACCAAGGATCACGCCAAGGAACCAAACAAGGAACTTAATTTTTGGGGTTTTGCTACCTAAGTTCAATCGAGCCAAAGTCAAATTGCTGCTTTATCGTTGAAAAATAAAAAGCAGTTCTTTAGTGTGTGTAAACGAAAACAAAACACTTCCGTCTGCGATAGGCGCTTTCATGGAAACGCTAAAGTTCAAGGCTCTGCCACGACAGTCGAAGTGATGCAAGCCGTAAACAACATGTGACAGCAAAGATGAAGAATCTTCAGACAACAGCCAAAAGAACACCCACGTGCGTATTGCGAAGTTCACTGCAAAACGGAGAAGAGAAAAGTAACAAGCGGAATTGTGGGGAAGTTTCGATGGGCCGTCCAAGTGGCCATTAACGAGCCATGCCAGCTGTCCGCTTCACAGAAATTGGAATAGGCCAAAGAACGAGGAAGATCTGTTGAGCGTCAAATGCAAGCTGATAGCAGGATACTAGTAAGTCGACATCATCACTGCAACGTAGCAGCCAAAAGAACACCACGCGTGTCACCAAATCGATCGCGTTGGTCCCTAGAATTCGACTTTTTGCACAATGACGTAATGTTGCAGAAAAACACTACCGTTAAAACAATGTTTGAAGATTTGCCGCTACTACGATTACCTTTCAACCTTTACTATAATTTTTCCTAACAAAAGCTGACATTTATTTTGAAAAATCGATTATCACATCGACTTTACAACATTGGCGTCAGGCCGACAAAGCTCGCTTTTTCAGCGATGAAAAAAGGCAAGTCATATTGATGCGATAAAAGTGTTGTAATAGAATTCTATGATATAATAGTTGGTCGTAATACGGAATAGACGTAATAATGTCTACCAAGACCAAACAACACCCAGGAGGACCAAGTCAGGAGAAGGCTATTTTCAGCCAAGACCAAAAAAAGTTGCAAACAGTGGTAAAAGCCGGAAACGTTTGTTTCATAATCTGTACACCGAAATAAACAATAATTTATCAACTTTTCATCAATTCGAAAAACATTAGCTAACCGGGAGTCAATCCCGTCCACTACAATACGTTCAGAAATATGTAAAAAGTGCT